ACTTAACGACTGAACAACAAACAACAATATTAGTACCTGCCTCTCAGCTGTTCTTCATTTAGAATAGATGGCTTCATACAGTATGCTAAACTCAGGTTAACAAAACCCAATCCCTGTGTTCACATATGAAGTTATGTCCAAACTAATGAGATTTACTGTGAGTTTTCCTTTTTTATAGCTTTGTGTCCCCTGGGACTTAAAGAGACTGTAGACCTCACCTGTAGTGCAGAATGATAAAAAGGGAAACTATGAAGGTACAGGATATGAATGTTGGTGGAGCGAGAAAGGGGGTTGGAGAGCTGAAGAAGCCAGTTGTGTGTAGAGGAGGTAAAGCTGAGTATCAATGGTTTGTTGGATTGAGCAACAAGACTCTGAAGCTGACACAGCTGGAGTGAAAGTAGCTGAGCCTAACAGCCTTACAAGCCTTCCAAAGATACAGACCAGCTACAGCCAGTCAGTAGGGAGTAATTGTTTCCCTCCCACCCTGACAAACTGATAAGGACCGAGAGACCTAGGAACAACTGAAAATAAGATATCAATCACTAGCAACTGCACCCTGCGGGGACTTGGGGATGGGAAAAATATACAGCCAAGTGTTGCTTGAAAGAAAATTAAGCCCTGGGTAAAGGACTAGGATTTGCAGTCCTTAAAGGAGAAAGTTAGAGAAAGAACTGTGCTATACTACCTTTACTGCTAAGAAAGGTGAGTTGTTCAGAACACAGTGGAACAGGGAAATTTGTAACTTTCTGGAGTATTGTAAATGATGTCCTTGTCACTTATAAATATAGTATAAAGCACAGATAGATAAATTTGTATATAATATGCTTGATATACTAGGGGTGTATTGTTTGTATAATAAACCTACCTCTTGTTAATATGAGAGGAGGAGCATTCAGCATTCCACAAGCTAGGGCCAAACCAGTACGTTATAGCATGGCATAATGGAGTGGCTTGATTTCTACAACAAACTAAGTTAACTGCTGAGTTCCCACAGATTATCCAATCCCTAGTCTGCTATATAAATACAGTTACTGAGTTCTGCAGACACTGATGAATAAAGGGCATGACATGAGCAGTAGAAAATGTGGTTCTTGAGGAGAAATGCATTGAGCCATAATGGCTAGATAGGTTTTATGCAAGATGTGTGAATACTTACTGCAGTTTCAGACGGGAGGAGAGGGCATTTGGTGATGTCAGGCACAGGTGGACTTTTGCGACAGCAAGTCTCCTGGATGGTGTATTCTACAAAGTTGGAAGGACCAACAACCCACTGTAAAAAGTCATAGATAAAGAATTAAAGTGGGTCACCTTGTCTGCAGGATGTGCCCCTCATAATTTTAGGTGCCCTATCTTTATCAACCTGATGCGCTCTAGATAATTCTCAACTGGTAGGACATTGTCAAACTCTCTTATTAATAACAAACACTAATATTCAGTAATCAAATTGAATGTAACATTGTCCAAAGATCAGAGTCCCATCCATGTGGGAAACTTGATGTTCCTGGGAAGCCCTCTGGCAGATAAAAATTAAAGTCGTCTTTAAGTCAATTTTGATTCCTGCAGACTTTGTGAATGTCTCTGGGCTTTTTCTTTAGCAATAATGCAGAAGTCACTTGCCCTCTTCTCAGAGGAGGAGGAGGGGGAGGATTTAATTTCTGAGTTTGGCCCAAGCCCTGGCTTTTGTAGTAGTCTCTATACAAATCAAAGATACAGCATCAAATTTCTTGCTGAAAAATACTCGACCTCAACTTTACCTGTGAACTTGCTCTGGTGACATTGAGAATGGTAAAATAATGAATATGGTTATTTTCAGCATTGAATTTGGCCAGGCTCTCTGCCGCTGTCTCCTGAAAAGTGGCTTCAGAAGGGTTTCCAGGGACTGGACAATCAGGACAACCACGTGTAATAGCAGAATTAGAAACTTTAGAAAAACAAAGCAGTGTCATTTAAAAAGCTGAGACAATACATCTGAATTTCAGCCTGTACATTTAAATGAACCGAAATACAGAAAGCTTGGGTTAGCTTGAAAATTAAGCTTCTCTCTCAAACCTGTATCTAGACAGGGTCACAGTTGTTTAGCAATCTGACGTAACACTAACAGCATGAAACCGGTGAAGCATGTCATTGTGAGGGGTACAAATCTGAAGGCTGGAGAGAAAGACCTTCTCTCCAATAGAAGAGAATATCTGTAGCTCTGGGTTGAACTGTGGAGTCCCTGGTGCTCTCTGAGTTTGGTTGTTGGCTTGTAGACATTTCATTACCCAAGACCTTCTCTGCCTCCCTGTACCAACCAGCATCAGACAGGAACCCCCTAAGACAAACTCAATCTGGATTACTTTTTCTTTTATGGTAGAATTGGATTCTACAGTGTAGTAACACCTGATGAATGAATATGCCAAGACTGAATTAACTTTTATTTCATGATCCATCAACACCTGAAAGCAGCAATGAAGGAGATGCCCCTTCATCTAAAGTTCAAAGGATATTTGCAACAACTTCTAGTTCACACAATTCACTCTCTAGCTGGCATAGTCAGCCATGTTGGTAAAGCTTGAATCCTCAACTCCATCTAATTCCCTGCCTAGGTTCTCATGGGACTGAAACATAAACAAATCATGCAAAGTCCTCTTTAGGAAGTTACAATATGACATGAGAAAGCAAAATCTTCAGTGTGAAACAACATGTCATAGTTAACATACCTCTTTTAAGTTTTAAGCAACAGACCTTGCTGGCTTTTAGAGATCAACAGTGGCTCCCTCAATTCTATAATGAATGCATTATGAATTGGACACAGTCATTTGGGCCTGACTGGGAGAAGAAAAATCAATTCCATTTTTTTTTTTTTTAGTTTTATGGTGTAGTTTGCAATCCCAAAATTTGCTCGGAAATGTAGGTATTAAGGTTGAGTGTGTACCAGATCAATATATTTAGTAGAAAATAATATTTTATACTAAGAAAAAAATGCTGCCAGAAAGTGCACAGACAAGGAAGTGTGTGAAAAATGCATACATTTGCAAGGAAAATATATAGAAAAGGAAACTGGGCCAAACAGTGGTTGAAAAATAGAACAAACTGAAACGGAGAGATTTAGCTTATGACACCTTGAAGAAACAACTGTTTAAACTGTCAGTTTTGGTCTTTTTGCAATTATCTTTCTAATTTCTATTGACAAATCTGTAAAACTGCAATTGGGAGGTATATGTACTCAGATAGATTTTTCTTGCAAACCTACATGCAGGCAAACATAGAAAATACATACGTGGTTGTAAAACACAGTCATAACTGTACAAGTGTGAATGATTGGAATTCCTGTTGAAATGAATTTTTGCTTTGCATTGGCCATAGACCTGAAACAATAGAAGTTAATTTGTGTTAGCGCCACCCATTACTTTTATCAATGATTCCCTGATACATAATCAAAAGCTGTACCTTTTCCACATGTTAGATGCAAGTTTACTTTCCTTCCAAAATGAGGAGAGTCAAATTTTCCACATCTTTATAGCTCCTACATTTCTTACTGAGATTTTGTACAACCCCACTGTCTTTTTTGCACTGCAGAACGTATTTGGAGCTATTAGGAAGCACTCGTGCATAAATGATGGGTCTGGCAGACCCCTTAGGTCAGATGGAAGATGAGGAGGGTTGGAGGAGCATCTATCAGTTTCTCCAAGTCTTTGCCTGCTTGTGTGGAAAGTAAACTACACCCACTGTGTTGTAATTTTGAAAGATTGAATTTGGCTTGTTGTCCTGATGTGTTGTTTATTCTTATTGTCTCTGAACTGTCTTGGTCTCAGTTCCCCCTGATCTACTCCCTGCCTCAGATCAAACTTTAAAGGCCAAAGGCCAAGAGTATTAACTGGGATGAGAAAGAACTTGACCATCCTTTTAGGAGGATTCAGAGCAGTGGGAAAAGTTCAGCAAAGGGCAAGAAGATCACTCAGGAGA